ATTTTCACCTACAGTCATTTTCTTTCGACGTCCGTAATTATCATATGGCTGCGCTTCTAATATAAGCTTGCCACCACTTCGCAGTTGCAGAAACATACGCCGAAAAGCTTGTTTCAAGCCTGCATCTCCAAAATTTAAGTGTATCCACTTGGTTATCGATAAGCAGAGTATAACATCGAATTGTTCGTGTTCAATCTCAAGTAATATGTCATCCCGTAGCACGTAATTGCCATGCACAAAGCTTACATTGTAGGGGAAACGTTGTAAACGCCGTGACTCATTTTCCAAAGGTAATGTTTTCTTTTGTCGTACCAGCGCCTTATTCGCTTGGTTGATAAGTGTGCGGTCTATGTCCAAGCCAACAATGCTTTTGACCACAAACCGTTTTGCTACTTCCATGGTTATTAGACCACTATTGCAACCAATATCGAGCACTTCCTTGCCTTGGAATAATTCAGGTTGCGTTGCAAATACTTCCAGACGTATGTCACGACATTCGCACCCCTTATTTCGATATCCATAATACTGGCTATAGTTGCCATAAATAAATCGCTCCTTGGCTTGTTTTCGTTGGGAGCCGCTACGAGATGTTGTATCTATTTGTAACCGCTTCTTGGGACTTTGATGTGCTACAGCTTTGGCTGGTAAAACACTTCTTCCTGCCGCGCAATTTTGTACGTTTGTAATCGTTGCATTGCAGCCAGACTCCGCTGTTATCGGTGCAGTCAGGGAGGCAATCTGTAACTTTGTTTTCTTGATTTCGCGTTCACTTTCATCATCGGGAATCGCAACTTTCCGTTTGGTGGCTAATTTTCCTGCCTCCTTTTCAGTTATTTGTGTAAATTCGTGATTTATATCCATTTAATAAGTCTGCTGCAAAAAACATGTTTTTAAATAACCACTTCTTTTCACGGAGATCATTCACAATGACCGCGAAATAAAGAATGAAATTGGTATCGTTTTGCCGATTAGTGTATTAACAAATTTATCGTAAAATTTAGCGAACAAAAATACAAGGGTACCTCGAAAAAAAATTATTAAAAACTCACACTAAAGGCAATAAAGGTGCTCCTTGGCAACGTACATATAACGAAGTCATGTATATGTATGTATAAATTCTTCCATATACCTTTGATGCAACGACTAATTGGTTGCAATCGATCGCTTTGAAAAATCGATTTATTTATGCTACTGCATGCCATGCATACGGTTATCCATTTGGGAAAGGCCATTTAATTTTTTGTATTCGGCGCGTTTTATAGTAACATACATTTTTGCAACTTTATTGAGTGTGGATTTTTTTAAATATAGTGCGTTCATGCACACAAAACCGTTCCATTACATGCAAAAGCATACATTTTTCGGAAATGTTGGTAAGGTGATGGCAATTGACCGGATGTTTATAATCAAATATGGGTTGTTCCGGTAACAAGAGCCTGACTGCTGGCGAAATGTAAAGCCAATAGGCAATATGGCTGCATAACTTACCACATAAATACATACTTTGAAGCTGATTAAACAATCGGAAGCAGTGCAACTAGCATAAAAGGTGTGAAACATCAAAGTAAGCAGCACTCCAAGGAAGCGATAACAAGAAATTATGTGGTTGAATCGTTTTCGTAACAACGTCGCTTACTTGTGTATGCATACAGAAGTACATACATATGCACATATGTAGGTACATACAAGAAATATCACTTCGCTTGCATCTTATTAACTGCTTTGATCTTATGATATCATATCAAAATTCATATCGTCGTCTGGGTAAAAGATTGTCGTATGTTAATTTCGGCAGGTTGTGGGAAATCGCGATTGTAGTTTGGAATGCAATTTCTCAAAAACCGCGAAGATAGATTTTCTCCAAAGTCTCTGAAAATGTTACTAGTTCACAAGGTTCTTAAATTATTTAATTTTTAATGTTTATTGTTAATTAGTTTTGAGTTTATGAAGGATATTCTTTAGTAATATTTTGCCGTAAGCGTCATTTGTCCACTTTGTATGAAATGCGACAAGATGTGATCAAAATTTCTACCAAATTAACGACACTTTTTACTCAATATCTCGGAAACTAAAGGAGATATCAAAAAATGGAGAACGCCATTTTTAAGACATTGATTAGTTTAATATGACTACATCACCAACTAAATGTTTACTAAATTATCGAAGAAGTTGTAGTCAATATCTAAAGGAGATATATAAAAGCTGATAACACCAATCGAAAGACCTTATTTCAAAATATATAAGTGCATCTAGAACTAAAAATCGTCAAAATGGCGCTTACGACAATCTTTAACCCCGGCGACGATATGTACATGCGTATGTGATTTGACATCACATTGCCACACAGTCTACAAACATGTGATATGATGATGTGATGTACAGAATGAAAAATACTGAAAAAGCCACTGCGGAAGGTTAGTAACAAAGTTTATATGTATGTTATCCAGTGGAAAAAAGGGCAATACATTACCTCTTTCTACCAAGAAAAGATTAACAACTACGTTTGAACGGAAAGATGCATCGCAATGTAAGCGAGCGGATGATGTGTAGTTTCGAAGCCACGCACACACAAACAAAGAGTTTGAGAAGCAACTCAAGTATGTTTTTTTTTCATAGCTGCATAGATTATAGGGGCTATCCATTACTTTTTGCCTTCCCCAACACTACCTTTTCCCACTGGGTACATACTCAAATATGTATTAACCCACATATAAAAAAAACTAAAATATATGTACATATGGTTGTATGTAGCTACATTTACGTACCACTAAACATTTGTGACCAGAAAAAATGCTATGCAAATTATCTATGTACAACGTTGTCACACCTTCCCCACAAGCTCACACTCATCCTTTCTTCCGGTGTGGCACACGCTAGCTACCAGAGTAACTGCGTTAAAAAAAAATAATAATGAAAAAAATATGCAAATCATTAGCGTTACCGCCGGCGCTAATAGATACACGTATGTAGGTACATATCGCACATCGTCTTCAAAAGAGGCATAACTCTAAAATCAGATTCGGCAATATATGTATGTAACTGCTTGTGGATTGTAGAGATTCAAAGCAAGTGATACAAAAACAGGCGTAACAGCAGTTTTGTAATTAGAAACTATAATCACGAAGAAAAAAAAATTATTTGCATTTATTTGATAATAATTTTTCGAATTGATTTACGCAAAAAAATTGACCAACATTTTCTTTAGAGTTGTGCCTCTTTTGAAGACGGTCTGCCATATGTAAGCAGGGCTATTGCCAAAGCGAAGGCGATCAATCATTTTCGCAAAAAAAAACAATTAATTTTTAACTATCGACAAGTTGGCGATTTATGAAATTTTAGATTTTATACGGAGTTGAGTAAAAAAAAAATGCTTTTGCACTTATCATACATACATATCCCGGTAAACGTTTATGAACACAAAAAAAATGCTAAAAAATCGCAATGTTAAAAAAAGAACACCGCTGCAGAGGAGTCTTCGTCATAGGGGAATTAATTTTAGAGCGATCCCACTGTATGCAGCTAGTATGTGCAATATTTTTTTGTATTCATATGCAAATCAAATAATGCCACGCGCATCCGTTAAATACCATAGATAAGATATGTATGTAGACATTGTGCGGAATTTTGTGTACAAAGGGTGGAATAAAGCCACACTTTGCGAGCTGAGCGGCCGGTCGAGTGGTCAGTTTTGGCTTTTGAATTTTTTTCTCTTCTGTTTTTTTGTGTGCTGGACACGCGAAAGGGTTGTTTTTCCTAATTTGTAATGTCTATTTATAAGATCGTGTTGGCATATATAATTTTTTGGCACGCGCCAATATTAGTATTTAAGATAACGGCTGCAAATTTTTTAATTCTGTTATTTTTTTGCACACTTTTGCAAACTGCAAATAGAAGGAAAACTCGTTTTGACGAATGAGCTTCCCTTAGTGCGGTACTGCGGAGATTTAAGGGTAAAAAATAGTCTTTTGCTAATTTAAGTGCTATTTTTTTTTTTGAATAATACTCGTAATTTCATACATTACACATTAGAGTGCATCACCAAAAAAGTTGCAAGTCTCTTAGCGGATTAAAACACTTATTATAATTTAAGATTTCCGTCAAATTTTTTTCAAAAAATATTTAGATTTACGTGGCGTACTTGAAAATACCACCAAAAATCTTACTCCGTTGATAAAATTTTTAAACACTTTTATGCAAACCTTTAAAGCTTAAACTCTTCTAGCATCGGAGGTGATTTAAATATAAATATTTTAAAAACTTATTTTATTTATAAAAAAAAACTCGATTTTTTTTAGGTATTTTCAAATAGTCCAGCTCACGTAAATCATAAAATTTTTCCGAAATTTTTGGCGAAAGTCTTAGAATACAATCGGGCGTATTCTTGTTTTCGTACGAATCGAAGATCATGAAATTTTCCAATAACTTTGTATAAATGTATAAAAAATGTATAAAAATTTAAACTTTCCGATTGAAAAACACTACCTCCCTTTTTTGGCATGGAGAGTCATGCACCTTAATGTACAACGTTAAAATTTAGAGCACTACTAGGAATTGAAAATGTATTGCACTGATTCTTCTTCTATATTGGGTTGTAATCCGATAAGCAATTTTGGCCGAGTTAGGCAAAGCGAGCCAGTCGTTTCTTCGGCATTTCAACCGGACCCTGTTAGTCTCTCCTCTTCACTTGGTCTTTCTAGCGCCTTCCTTCGGCGAGCGGTGCGTCAAATATTGCCGAAATATGAGTTATATTTGCAGGCGAGATATACATTTGTTAAGATGTGCACTATGACCAAGTGATCTCTTGCTTATTACAACAGCTCGTTCAGTCCTAATTTCCTTAGAAAATGCAGTAGGTTGTTTGATGAAATCGAGAGCTTTGGCGCTCCGAACTGAATGACTCGAGCTATTTCTCCCATCTTTACGACACTGCATCGCTTTCGAGGAGTAAGTGTTCCGAAGTTTCAACTGCATTGCCACAAAAACAGCATAAATGGTTAGACCAGGTTCCGAGTTTGTGTAGGTGGCTTTCTAATCTACAACGACCAGTTAAGATACCTGTGGGAATTGCAATTTATCATATCTTCAATTTTTGTACACTCGCCAAAAGCTGCTTCTACTGGCGCTGCTCATAGATTTATAGGCAAATGAAGTGAAATGCTTGGACGTCATTTTTGACTGAAAACTGACCTGGCAGCTCAACGTCAAAGATACAGCAGTACGACATGCCTTATTACATGGCGGAACTGTTTGTTGAACATCATTAGAAAAGTCGTCCACTAATTCTAGGCTGGCCAAAGTTCAGTCCGTGCCTACTAAAACCTTAGAAATCCTACTTAGCTTTCTTTCCGTGGACCATTTTCGATAATTTCACTTATTTCTCACTAATATTCTAACCAATTACCCCTTCATTCTGAGGTCGCAACCATATAGCCTTTAAGCCCTAAGAACACGTTCTTTGAGGGTTTTGGAGAAATGGGAGATTACTGATTATTAGGGCTGGGACTATGCGTATACTCGCATATACGGATAAAATCGGTATACCCGGTTAATAATGGTTCCCATTTGTTATTCAGATAAATATCCGGTTTAAATCCCGATATCCGGTTAATATCAATTTGTTTAGGTATTCGGATATCCGGCTAATACCCGGTAATTTGGTTATCCGGTTACCCGGTTAAAAACACCATATCTAAATATTCGGATTTTTTAACCGGGATTACTTGGATATTCAAAAAATCCGGATAGAACTTCTAGGCTTGTGGAAAACTGCTTTGGAATAGAAAAAATTTCAAATTAACAAAACAAGAAAAGTTATTTTCTACCAGTGTATTCACTGCACAAATAACAGCTTCCGATTTAATGAATGTAGCCGCGATGCAAGAAAAAAAAAACACTAACAACTAAAAAAAGGTGGAAATT